CACCCACCCACCCACTCCATCCATCCATCCATCCATCCATCCATCCATCTATCCACCCGTCCATCCATCCTATGCCCTCTGTTCTTATACTTTCTCCCTTCACAAGATAAAGCCAAGTCCCTGTACAGACAGATTTTGCCATTCATTCATTCATTCACTTACTCATCTATTCATCCATCCATCCATCCATCCATCCATTCATCCACCCGTCCATCCATCCATCCATCCATCCATCCATCCATCCATCCACCCATTCTTCCATCCGTCCATCCATCCATCCATCCTATGCCCTCTGTCCTTATATTTCCTCCCTTCACAAGATAAAGCCAAGTCCCTGTACAAACAGATTCTGCTATTCATCCATTCATCCATCCATTTATCCATCCATCCACCCATTCTTCCATCCATCTATCCATCCATCGCCCTCTGTCCTTATGCTTCCTCCCTTTGCTCCCTTCAGGACTGCTGATTAGGAGGGCTCTAATCAGATTTGTGTATAATCCAAGCTTTACCCATGCTTATATGTGCCATAATAGTGTGTTTGGCATATATATATATGTATATAAATATATGTCCACACTCACATAAATACGTATATGAAATGCTCTTCAGTTTTACATTTCTCTAAAGCTGCTATAAAGGAAATCTTCTTCATACATGTGTTTGATTATATTCCTCCTATCCTTAGTGGCCTGGCCTCTGGTCCTATAGTTAATTAATTCCATAATTATGTATTATTCACTCCACAAATGTTTATTGAGTGCACTGAGCTCGGCATTGGGGATTCAGCACTGAAACTGATTTGGGTATATTCTTCTCTGTTCTCTTCTCACCTTATTTCCCCTGCATTCTTTCACTATTACAGCCAAATATTTTTCTCTAAGCCGTGATACATTAGAGCATCTGTGCGTTTGTTTCTGTTACTTGCATAATGTTCTTTTAAACTTGTTTCTCATACTTTTTTTGAAAGTGACTCAGTTAAAAAAATCTATTTTGTATTATAACCCAGTAAACACACACATAGCTGTAATTGAGATAAAATTCACAGAATAATATTTAACCTTCCCATGTACAGTTTTCCTGGTATTTCTCTTTTATTGCATTTTGAAAAAAAGTGCTGGTTGTGACCCACTAACTTGATTTCATGACTCATTCTTTAAGCCCACTTCAAAATTTATTTCCTACATTAAACTTACAGGATACATAACCTTCTATCTGATACTTTATAAAAAATGTTCACATATGTGTTAAAAAATTGATTTTTTATTTGTGACATGGATTTGTTTGTCCTTTTACGTTACTAGATTCTCCAAGTTGAATTCAAAGAGTTTGCACCTGATATCAAAATCTCACTCTTCCTCCCAGGACTCATTTCAATAATATCATATGTCAGGCAGCTTCTTAACAAATAGGATGATAAACTAATAAAGGTGTGTGAAACCTAAAATATCATGGAGTAAGCTGCTTTTGTATCCTTCTGTGGGTGAGAGATCTGGAGGGCAATTGACGCCTGAATGCTGGGAAGTCAGAATTTCTGGTCTCTTCCATTTGTTTTCATTTGCTTCAGGAGCCCTCCTCAGAGTAAATTTTTTTTTTTTTTTTTTTTTTTTGCTGAGGAAGATTGGCCCTGGGCTAACATCTGTTGCCAATCTTCCTTTTTTTGCTTGGGGAAGATTTGCCCTGAGCTAACATCTGTGCCAATCTTCCTCTGTTTTGTATGTGTGCTGCCACAGCATGGCTGCTGACGAGTGGTGTAGGTCCACGCCCAGGAACCGAACCCGGGCCACCGAAGCGGAGTGCGCCGAACTTAATCACTAGGCCACTGGATGTTTATGTGTAGAGCTTGCTTAGATGAAATTTTTCGAGTTGCTGCCTAGGAGACTCATCGTGGTTTCAGAAACAGCTAAGTTTAATCAGTCATTGAGTTTTTCCACCTTGCAAATCAGAACTATGTCTTCTTTCCATCCTTTTATATTTTGGGTCTTTATTTCCATTAAGCATCTTTTGGTCTTAATGTCTTGGAATATTTCATCTACTTGCCTCTGCACCACTCTTTAGACTTCTGGGCCAAACACTTAAGTACTTTTTCTACATTTTGTTGTGACTTTGGGCAAGTCGCTTTATCCTCCTAAGGTTTTGCTTCCTATTCTATAAAATGAGGTGGTTGAAATCCCAACAAGAGTCTGAGATCTCTCTGGCCTTGACATTTTAGTCTCTTAATTGGGTTATAAACACCAAGGGGTGTGATTACGTAGTTTACGTCCTCCTACACAAGGTGAAGGAGGCCCTTACTTCGAGCTGATTTTTTGATTTCGGCCTGTATGTACATGTTTCTTTCAGGCCTTAAATGAAGGGAGAAAAGTGCTTGTCATAAATCTTGTGCTTTGTTCAACCATCCCCTCCACACCAGAGAAACTTCAAATCCTAAATTATTGCAAAGAATTGTTGAAGTAGTTGAAAGTGTTCTGTGTACTTCTGAGTTTAAGATTGGACCAGAAGCATAGCTAGTGGCAGATCTGGAGGCAGCAAGTTAATCTCTGGTTACTGTATACCGAGGGATTTGGAAGTGAAATGTCCAGTATATATATAATAGGGACGATACTAGCATCCTCATACCATTAGTACAGAGGAGACATGTTTATATGGCCAGTACAAGTAACCAGAATGTCTGGCTCTGATGCAACCAGACAGGTGAACACAGCCAAGTCATATAATTTCTGGACCTCACTTTCTTCGTGTTTAAAATAAAGGGGTTGCGCTAGAAAATTTCTATCCTGGTCTATGATTTTAATATAGAAACTTAAGCTTGGGTTATAAAAGGAAAGAAAACAGTTTTTGAGAAAGCTTAAAATCTGTTTTTTTAAAATGTCATCTAAAGTTAGTGAGGCTATACAAAGATCGATACAACCCTACCAGTCTAATAGATACAACATTTTTGGAAGGCAACCTGGCATAGTATAATTAACAGTCACAAAAAATGCTCATTTCATTTGACCCAGTAATATGGTTCTGTGGCATTTATCTTAAGGAAATAATTTAGAAAGATAAAAACAATCATTGTCATTTCAGTTATATGTAACAGTGAAAAACTAGGAAACATTTCAAACTTCTGATAAAGGGAAATGGTTAATTGAATTGTGGTGTATTACTGTGTGGTATAATGTGCTATTATTAAAATGGTTATGGATATTAGATACAAACATAAAGTTAGCTGTCACAACTACATGTGATATTAAACAATTATTAACAATAAATATTAAACAAGCAGAATATAAATTATTTTATACTATACATATAAGTTTAGAGGTTAGACAGGCCTGTGTTCAAACTCCAGAATGGCTACTGACAGCAAACTAACCTTGACAAGTTCTTAACCTTTAAGCCTCAGTGTCCTCTCCTGTAAAATGGGTATATAATATCTATCTCACAGGGTTGTATAGATTAAAAGATAGTGTTTCTAAAGCACCTGATATGATATGCTCAGTAAATAGAAGCTGTTGTTTTTATCAAATAAACAAAGACTAGAGGAGAACACACTAAAATAATTAGTTAACATGGTAAAGTTATGGGTCATTTTAAAGCGTATCAATATATTTTTGTAGTAAAAATGTGAAAATCTCATTGAAGACATAGAATTAAAATAATAAAAACAGAAAAGAACCAGTAGTAAATAAGTTTAGTATTTATTGGGAGAAGGCCTGGAGGACTTGGAATGGAGATGGACTCTTTAAAGTATACCACCAAAGGCAGAAAACATAAAAGAAAAAGTGATAGGTTTTAATTACATAAACATTGAAAACGTCTGCTTATTGAAAAGCAAGATACAAAGTAACAAAGCAAATGACAAAGCAGGAACATATTTGCAACATACATAAACGGACAGGTTTGATAACCTTAATA